TGGTAACACTTACATTGATTAAATAAATAAGATAGCTGTTAAGGTCACAAATGAAGAATTACCTATTTAAGATTCGTTGGAAAATCTACACCACAAACGTGGACGTTTTAATTGAAGGTAACTCCTTGGTGTGAAACATTTTAATATCTGTACCTGTGTGTTTCTGAGCAATATACTTCTCTGAAGAGAGAGCAGCAAGATACCATTTTACCACGTTCTTTTTTAGTGAATTGCTGCTTTGCAGGGAATTGTTGTACAAGCAGACATGCTTAGAGTTGTTGCGTGTCCAGGCAAATTTGGGTTTGTAGTTAACGACTTGTGGGAGTTCTGGCTGACAGGAGTGCTTATGGAGGTGTGGGGTCATTGCTAGAGGTCTGTAGTGTCTGTGTAATTGCTGTCCCATGTTACTGGGGTGGTTTGGTTTCTTCTGTTAAGAAAATCAATCACTGGGTCCTTTCCCTCCTCCCCCCCCTTGCCCCCCCCAAAATGTGAATGGGATTCTTCTTGCCAATCCATAAAATTCACGCTGAAAAGCGTGGCCATCAGCTAAAGCCAGTAAACCTTCTGGAGTGAGGGAAGAAGGAACTTTTTTAGCAGGGTAGCCATCAAGTCCTGAAACGGGCATCTCCAGAGACTATTTATTCTGCTTATTTTAGAAACATGTCTCTTCCTGCTCTTTTTATAACCAGAGCCTTGATGACTGGGGGTGGGGGCTGACTGTGTGACCGGTGTAGTCCAGCATACAGCCACGGACTGTGGCTGAGAAGCAGTAGCTTTTGCTTTTTTTTTTTTTTTTTTTTTTTTCTCCCCCAGTTCTCTTTTTCTCCATCTCACCACCTCTGCCATGTCAGGACAAGCATTTCTGTACCCACATGGCTGAAACTAGCCACTTACTTTGTTGGATTAGGTTTCAGCCAGATCTTTTACTTGCTCCCGCGCTCCTCGGTGGCTGCACTAGTGCTAGCACTGGTCAGAAAGGAAAACAGTAAGAATAATCAACCAGGAGGCTGATTAACAAGAGTGAATAATCAATAGGGAGGATGGGGCAGCTCTCTGAAGTGACTTTCCAACCTTACACTAGGTGAAAGGGTAAACATTAGGTAAATTAGGTAAACATAATCTCAGCTCTAGGAGGGATCGGTTTCATACAGCATTTCTGAATCAAGCTTTAAACCTGTGAAAACACAGCTGATGCAAAGACGTGTCAGTCTGCAGGAAGCACGAATGCTAGTCCAAAAGTGTCAGTGGCTTATTCATTTCTAGGTTTGTAAGTGTAATTAGAGTGGCGTGTGGGGATGTGAGTAAGTAGGCTGTCTGGTTATTGCCTCAAAAAGGTGGCTTCTGCACAACAACTCAACTCTTACTGGGTATTTAAACGTTTCCCCTGTGGTCTGAAACGTGGTTCTGCATTTCAATAGAAAGCTTTGCAGCAAGGCACGCTTCAGTCCGCAATAGAGGCAGATGCCTTGTGGTGTTTGTCTTTGCTTGGCATTGGCTTGGTGGATGCCGGAGTACTGGGCCAGATGAGGAGCTGCTCGGCTGGGTGGAACAGTACTGACGGCTTGTCGCGAACATTGCCTTAATATCAGTATAAACTGTGGCCTGCATCAGGTGGGGAGTGAAATGCTGAGCTGAGGAGTGCTGAGGGGAGAGTGGCATAGCCATCGATACTACATTTCAAAGGAATCAATGTTTCTGTAAGTTACCCTTTTTTTCTTGATCCTATTTGCCCAGTTTATTTATTAGAACAGCAATAGCATCTCTGCAGAACATAAAAAAAGCTGCAAAAGGCTTTAGTGCTGTGGAGTAGTAAAATTAATTTCTAAGTATGATGATTAGTAGAATACAAAGGTGCCAAATACTTGATTTGCAAATTGAAAACTAGCCTCACTATGGAGAAATAATCCTTCCTTTTTCCTGTTGTCACTTAATGAGTCTCTCATTTCAAATTAGAAGCTCCAGAGATTTCCATCAAAGCTGGCTTTATAAAGAAAGAATTCTCTTCCAGCATTACTCTTTGTAGAGACAGTTAGCAAAAAAACTTGGAAAGCAACGAGTCCAAACATTCAAGATTATGTCCATGTTTGTCTTCCTAAAATATTTAACAAAAATAGAGTACGGTTCACAAATGTGCAGAAAAACTGATTTTAAAATTATTTCAACAGCACGCCATTTGCAGCCTTTTAAAAAGGATCCAACTGGTGATATAGTTGTTGAAGATATTTCAGTTCTTGGCAAGCTTAACTTTTGTAAGCTTTGAGCTGCTTTTTTTTCAGGGGCCAAAAAAAAAAAGAAATCACTTTTTCAAGGATTCTGGGATATTTTTCAAGGATTTAATTGGAAAGGGGAGAACAAGTATAATAGAAAATATGTAAATGTTGCACAAAAAAATTCATTTATTTCTTGTAACAATGGATTCTTTTCTGTTCCCATCATCTGTGGTTGAATGCCGACACGGGGTTTAGTTCCAGCTCCACCAACGGTTTCCAAAGGCTTCCTTTGGCTGTCCAGTGTAGTTAGGCGTTATTTGTTTTGGTTTATTCCCTTAACAGAAAAATCTGCAACACAGTAGTAACCAGTGGCTTGCAGGAGAATGTATTTGACGCTGTTGTGACCAGGCTGCTGCAGTGGTTAGGAGGGCATTTGGAGGCTGGGGATGTGCATCGCCTTGCTTGCATTAAAGAACAATCAGAACCGAATCCAAATTAGCAAATCTTTGCTTGAGTTTTTCCAAACTCGGCAGATGGAAAAGCTGTTAAGAAGTGGAGAGGTAAAGGAAGCGAGCTAGCGCGTGTCGGAGGGCAGGCGGCTTGCTTTGGGAGAGGCATCGGCTTAGCCATATATGGAAGAGGACATTTTCCTTGTTAACTTTACGGGGAATCTGTGCCCAGAACTACATTCATCATGCGGATGCGTTTCCACAGGAACGTTTCTCTTCCAAATGGTCTTAGTCATAGTTTTAGCACTGTGTCACATCTTTGCTGACTTATTTATATAGTCTGCATGGGCTTGCTGTGCATCCGCTGCTAGTCTGCCCTAAAAAGGTGAACTGTTTATAATTTTCCCGTTTTGGCTAACAGAAAAGACAGTACTAAACTGATGCCAGCAGCTTAGGTTTTTTTCTTGCTGAAAAGCCCACCCTGTTCTGGGCTCTACTTAAAGCAAAACAACTTCTAGAGTAACAAAACATCCCTTCGCTTGTGGGAAGTAAGGTTTGTTAAAACACGGGACGTACCTACCATAAAACCAGAAAAGAAGGAACCTAAAAGTTGAGCAACCTGGCGAGGCTTTGCCCTCCAGACCCCTGGTCTGATAGGAGTGCCCCTACGCCACGTAACAGCTCTCTTTGTCTAACCTTGGTTCAGTCCCTTCGTCTGTCTTCCACCTACACGCATTTCTTGGGCCACCGTTCCCCTCTGAGCAAGTCCGTGGTTGCGCAGGTTTGATTTAGGTGATTGCTTATAGAGGGGACTTAAAGAGTGTTCATGAAGGACGGTTTTTGCGAATGAAGGATTGATGACCTCTGCAGCAAATCGGTATTAGATATCCAATAAGTAATGCTCAAAAGTTAAGTAAGGTATAATTCACAGTTCAATTTTTTTCTTTGTTTTTTTAATCAGTAATTTATTACGTGCATATGCATAACATCTAGCAAAGTCTTCCACAGCAAATTCTCTTAATTCCCCTATGTCTGAACTCCCCCCCACCCTCTGGCTACAGCATCCACTGAAGAGTGGACCAAAGTGATTTGGAAAATCAGAAAAATATGAACCATATAATACTGTTGTTGGATACAGTTTTGTAGCAAAGGGTTGGCTTCTGTTTGAAACCTTTTCCGCCAGATTTTAGAGCAGCTATCGCTTCTCCGTTAGGTTTGGCTGGATGTGCAAAGTAACAATTATGAATGACCCTAAATCAGTGTGGGAAAGCCAAAGCTCAGCTGCCGTGCTTATTTAAGCACTGCTCCCTTTGCTGCTAATTTATATGAATAACAGCACATCTTCTAGAAAATGACAGGTTCATTTTAAAAGACTCTGCCAAATTCACTTTTCCTTGGCTGTATTGCAAGACATTTTTTAGAACAAAAAGATATTAAGAATATTGATGTTTCCAGGATGACTGGAAAGGCTTTAATTAGCAATAACGTTTTAGGATGACCAAGGAAATTGGCAGCCAGGGTCCAAGTTCTCAGAATTCTTATAATGAATAAAAAAGAAATGGAATTTAAAATAATACCAAAATTTGAAAGATGCAACAACTGACCCTCGCTCACTACCTGCTGTTAGAATAGAAGAAAATTTAGAAAAAAAAATGGTCTATAGGGAAAATAACAAGTCAGTAACCCTAAATTGTGGTTTATAAGCATTCAAATTTTGTCGCATAAAGCATATAGATTTTATAGTTTGTATGTATTTATTTTCTCTGCCAGGCTTTTATTAAGATCTATAGCACTGAACAAAGGGTAGAGTGTTTTTTCTTTGATAAGGATGGTACCCATTAATTCTCTGTTGTCTAAAGAAGAAAAAGGGTCTGAGTTTATATCAAGGATGATTTATGTTGTATATTGTGAGAGGAAATTTCTAGTTTGAAGTGTAAGGTGCAAAGTTAGGCTATAAAACACCCTTTGAAGATTCTGAGGAAAAGATTTTGGAAAGGGCCTTGAAGTTTATCTTAAAGCAGAGACTTGAACAGAAAAGCTCTATTTCCATCTTGTATTTCTGTGGGATCTTTATTTAGAAGTCTCTCTCGGATAATACTCAGAGCACAAATATTTTATTCATTTATTGAGATGTTAATAGATTGGTTTGGATTCTTCTGCCCCACCCCGACTTATAGCTTGCTGGTTTACCTAACAGAGTATTTCAAAATAATTTAAGAAGCTACCTTGTTTGATGTCTCTAAACACAAAGTTTAGCCCACAAACATGGTTGTATTAGAGCAAAACGGGCTGGCTGGTACAACTAAGATCATTTGATTTGCATCTCCTCCATGTTCCTTGTCTGCTCTGAAACACGGTTACATGTCTGCAGTTTCCTGCAACCCTCCCCCCGCTTTTTCTCTTCTTGCAAGAAATCATACAATTTAGTCTTCTGATTATGTTTTTCAGACTAATTTAAAATGGCTCACATGGGCTGGCATCCTCTGTTGCTTGATATGGACTGGATTTGCTCAGCAAGGTAAGTCACTTGATTTCATTGCAGTAGTTTAATGTTGCTGTAGAACTATGTATATTTAGCAGTTATTTATATAGATAAATATATCGTTAGATGACTGCTAATGGCAGTATGTCAATCATATCTCCTGTTAATAACCTATTTGTAGTTAGAACTTAGTTTACAAAGCCAGAATGAAACTAACTAAAATTCTGTTGTTGTTAGCACCTTTTTATAAATGAAGTGACTGATTTGTATTCTTTGCTAGGTGGAAGTGACTGCATAAAAGCTAATGCAAAATCATGTGGTGAATGTATACAAGCAGGACCAAACTGTGGTTGGTGTAAAAAAACAGTAAGTGTTGCAAAATTCCTTTTATGGTTTGGTTTTTTCCCCTTGGTTTCAGATTTTAGTAAATACTTTAAATGTATAGAAATGTCTGTTTTCATTAATGATAGTTTCCTGCAGCTCTTCAATTTGATACTTATTTGTACTTACAAATTCAGATACTGTGATTTTCCTGATGTCCTGGTTTGAGTAGAATTGCTTTTTGCAATGTGTTTACTTCTACTTTTCTAAATCTTATGTGTATACAGACCCTACAGGCTGTCTCGTAGTTATTTAAAAGCATTCCAGCATGGAATCTGTCTGGGTATCCTTAATTATATTCTTCCAGTGGCATTAGAGTAAGAGGTAATTTTAGGCAGACATAGGTGGAGTAGGGGAAGAGATTGAAGGTTTTCTTTTATAAAAGAAAGATGTTCAAATTTTAGTTTTCTGTTGTTGGTAGAATTGGGTAGGAGACTCGTTTGTGTGGGCGGGTTGTTTGTTTCAGTATGAAACATAAAAAGAGTGCTTTCTTATGTAATTAAAAATTAAATTCAGGAAATTCAAAATGTAAGATAATTTTAAACTGTGTGACTTAACCAGTATATGCTGAAGTGTCTTCTTCAGGTTAGAAACAGAAGAAAATGTTTTCTACAGCTTTTCTTTGGTTTGTTAATGAAAACTGGGAAATTTTCCTGTTTCTTGCTAGAAGATGACAATCTATATTTATTTCCATATAGTACCTACTTACTATCCCCCAGCTTATAAACTTTAAACATTTAATTAAACTGACTAACTTCAAAATTTGGCCTTGAGCTGTCAGATTTGTTCTCAGTCCTAGTCGTCAAGAACTGACAAGCTTTAAGATATATTTATTTTTATGCATATCTTTTTGGGGGAAAAATCAGAATTGACAAGTTTCTCAGAAGCCTTATTTATTCATATTTGAGGTTAGAGCTTTTTTTAAGGTTTGAGGTAATGGTAATTTGTTGTTCAGAACAAAGTTACGTATTGGTTTTGCTTACGGATCTTGCTTTTAGATTGAGTTTCCCCCAAATAAAAGAGTTGTCTGCCTTTCCCCTGCTCTGTCAGCATGTTGCCATTATTTTGTTGCGGAGTGCCAAGGTACACTTATGTAATCTTTAATCAAACCTTTTAAAAAAAAAAAGTTAGAAGGGAGGGTACTTGCCAAGCAGGCTGTACAAATAGGTTCACGTTATTGAGGATGACTACATGAAGATGAGAGCTTTTCCTGCGTGCTGTCACTTTTAGAATAGCTGATTTAAAAGGATGTCCTGCTTCTGTCAGAGGTGACATTGGGCATTTTTTTTAATTTCATCTTGCTTGCATATTATACACAGGTAAGCATAAGTAGATGCAAAGTCCTGGACTAAATAGTAGTCACTGATGTATTTAGTATAATTTAACATATTTCAGGACTGTGTGTTTTATTACTGAACTTTTTAAAAAAAAAAAAATTGGAGTAATTTTCAGAAGTGTTATTGGGGTAGAGTATAATGAATTGCAGATAGCTGTAAACTTGATACTCTTTTGCCTGTGTCTTCTAGGACTTTTTGCAAGAAGGAGAACCAACATCTGCCCGATGTGATGACTTGGCAGCACTAAAGAGTAAAGGCTGTCCTATGGAAGATATAGAAAATCCCAGAGGTAGCAAACAGGTGCTTGAAGATAGAGAAGTAACGAATCGTAAGATAGGTGCTGCAGAGAAGCTGAAACCAGAGGCCATTACACAGATCCAGCCACAAAAATTGGTACTGAAACTAAGAGTCGGTAAGGACACTTTCATTCTGGTCCTTGGATGATCTTTCTATCACCACCACATCTATATTTTGTGTTTTGACTGTGTAACCATTTTGTTACAGAAACTACTATTGTCCAGATAACCTGAATGATAGCAGGTCAGCCCCAGGTGTTTAGATAATCCAATACTGTTTGATTTTTATGAAAGGTTACATATTATCGCTTGTTCCCAATAGAACTTAGTATTTTGTAGTTAATTTTCTACAATGTGGCTTCTTAGAATAAAAGTAGAAGAGTGCAAAAACTTAGAGAAGCTATGAGAGTAATTCCTTTTCCTTGAAGTATCGCTGTTGCCTAAAGTCTGCATGTCTGAGCTGAATGGTGTTGTAGTTATGCAGCAAGATTTTTGGATTGCTATGTAAAATATTTTCCAGAGGCTAAAGATGTGGACACAGGGCTACAATAATGAGAACAAAGTAGTTGTGTATCATTTCCAGGCCCTAAAGAGACCTTTATTTCATTCAAACGGGGGGCGGTGGGGGGTGGGGTGTAATTTTTCTGCAGTGTCTTTCAACATCAGAGTGAGACTTTATGCTTCTGTTGGCAAAATTCAGGGTCTGGGCTTAACATTGCAACAAATAGTAACTTGCCATTATCTCACTGCCATTTCTGTGCTCTCAGTCTGTATTTGATGCAAAGTAACTTGAAATATTCCATTGAGAACTGATTTTTCTTTTATAAACCTATTTAAACAATGTGTGCGTTTTAAACTAAACCCTGAGAATTTTTGGAGCCATCTTGGATGCAAATAGATATTGAAAATTTGTGCTATTAGATCTTATAGGAACCTTGTTAAAATTATTGCAGGCATGAAGATTTGAAATTGGAGCAACTGAGAGAGGCTTGATTTTTGGCAGGCTAGTATTTTCTATGCGGAGATAAAATACCTTGGAAATACGAAGTTGGACATTTGAAAGAAATACTTCCTGAATTTTTTTTCATCATAATTTGATGTTAAGCATTTCAGTTAACAGAAGGAGACAGTCACTCACCTCTAGTTTAAAACCTTCATCAGTATTTCAAAGACTTACCTTAAAAAGCCATTTTTCTTGCCAGTGCAGTTGTGGAATTTTTAATGGTTTCTATTTGTTTAATCTCTGAAACAGGAGAACCCCAAACATTTTCATTAAAATTTAAGAGAGCCGAAGACTACCCCATTGACCTTTATTATCTTATGGACCTTTCCTATTCCATGAAAGATGATTTAGAGAATGTGAAAAGTCTGGGAACGGCTCTGATGGAAGAAATGGAAAAAATAACTTCAGACTTCAGAATTGGTAAGGAAGATTTGCCTGTTCTTTTACCAAAAAAAAAAAAAGTTTCCTTCCTGATGTTTTTCACATGATTACATATGATATGAAGAGTAATTTTTAAAAAATTATTATGGCAGATATTTGAATACATAGAACCTGTTGAGTAACATAAGAGTAGTTGGTGTTCATGGAGAAAGTGAAATGTTAACAATATGAGAGCTATTTCTGACATCAGTTCAGCTATAATGCATTTGCATTCTATTGTGTCATAATATAAATAAAGAGACTTCCGTTCTTCAACTTACAGGGTTTTTATTGTTCTGTCTTAGGCTTTGGCTCTTTTGTGGAAAAAACTGTGATGCCATATATAAGTACAACACCAGCCAAACTCAGAAATCCTTGTACAGGTGACCAGAACTGTACAAGTCCATTTAGCTATAAAAATGTGCTCAGCCTTACCAGTGAAGGAAATAAATTCAATGAACTTGTAGGTAAACAGCACATTTCTGGGAATTTAGATTCTCCTGAAGGTGGATTTGATGCAATAATGCAGGTTGCAGTTTGTGGGGTAAGTGTGTATTAGTTTTCTTTACTGGTCTATTAAATGAAATTGTCTGAATACAGCCTCAGTGTTTTATGGCGGCTGACATTTGCACATGCCATCTCATGCTAGCAAGGCAAGACAGACTAGGCAGACTGCGTGCCTACATGCATTTGGCTTTTGTAGAGACCTCTGGTGAGTGAATGAAACTGGGAAATGTGAAAGTGTCGATTAGAGGTCATGTTCACAGCAGATAGATGCATTCCAAAGACAAAGTTTTTAAAGTTTGCTGTAAAGAGTCAAATTCTGTTCAAAAGTGTATGAAATCCTGTGTAAGCAACTATTCTAAAATGATTTCAAAGCTTCATATGCTTCTTGTTGTTTCAGAATAGTTTGGTGAATTATAACTTCTACTAGCTTCTCAGACAGAAGTAGATGGAAACCTGATTTTTGTTTATTTTTGAAGATCTGATCTAGATCATTGCATTCTTCTTTGATGTTTCCATAGTCTGCCAGAATATTCCATGCACCTGTACAACATGGACTCCCAAAAAAGTGATATCCAAGTTTATTGATTTGTTACCATGTTATTTTTGCTGTTGATCAATGGAGTCGGGACTTTCTGAAACATTCTGGAGTCTTATTTTAAAAGTGCAGTGTTAATCATAAGCCTTCTAGGGTTTGTTTTTTTTTTTTTTTTCTTTTTCATTTTGGGAGGTAACTGGTATTTATGTGACACTTCTATATGGTCTTCTCTCCTTAAATTAACTAGGGCTTCAACTTGATAGAAGAATTTAAAAAAAAAAAAAAGGAAAGGGCAGGTTACAGAATTAGGCTCTGCTTGTGGGACGGTGAAAAAGGGCAGTCCTCTGGCAAGCCCTACGCTTGGTACAATTCTGGACTAGATTGGCAAAGCCTGATGATTCTTCAGAGCCTAATGCCGGGCAAGGCGTAATCTTCCACTTCAAGACTGCAGCCGAGCTCTACACACTAACGTTGTCCTCTGTGCTCAGGCCGCATGGTAGTGACGTAGAAGCAGACTTGGCTTTAAAGAGCTGGACTGACATGTGCCTGACTTCTAAAACCCTATTGCTCTTCAGATACTCTAGTGAGAACTGAACAGAGCAAAGTAGATTTCAAAAATAATGTTTCTTGCCTTTGGTGAAAAACCTGCAGCAGATGTTAAATGCAAGTGCTTTTAAGGTTTGAGTGGATTATATGATTTCCAGGGTGATACTTTTGCAGTATGGCTTCTCCTATATCTGTCTACTTTTTCGTGCATTTATCTCTCAAGTGTTGGTCCCAAATGCTGGAAAATAAATTGGTGTAAAATACAAAATAATCCATTTTTTTGTTTCCCAAGGAACAAATTGGCTGGAGAAATGTAACAAGACTATTAGTGTTTTCCACGGATGCTGGATTTCACTTTGCAGGAGATGGTAAACTTGGTGGAATTGTTTTACCAAATGATGGGAAATGTCATCTGGAAAATAATATGTATACAATGAGCCACTATTACGTAAGTCTTTACATCATCTTCTCAGGAAATTAATATTTTGTGATGCTTAAGCTCAAAAAAAACTCATTAGGTCATCTGGTATAGTTTCAGGCTGCCACATCTTTTGAACTTTACCTGTTTACCTCTGTGTTATATCAAGTGACTTTAACTTAACTAAAGCAAATGTGCAAGAATTAATCCAGTCATAATAGGAAAATTTCAAGAAATGGCAACTTTCACACTGTGATTTGTGGTGTTGGATTTTAAGCTTTTTAATAATTAATAATCCTGCATGTCCACTGGCAAACTGTAGTGGCTCTGTCCCATTATTTTATCATTTCGTTCCTCTTTGTGTTCAGAAATGTTTTACTACTGTAAAAAAAGTACTGTAAAATAGAGAGCTCCTTGGCCTGTTTTTTTTAAGGCTGCTTGAAATCTTATGATACAAAGTTTATGGTAAAAGTATGCTTAACAACATTGCCTTCATGGTTTATTGATACGTAGATCAGACAAAAGGTGAAAAGAAAAACTCACTGGGTGAGGTAAACACAATAAGCTTTACAAAGTTTGTGTGTTCATATATTCCTAAAGTTAAGTGAGTATTGTTCAACGAAAACCTAAAATTAATTCAGTTTTATTTCATCTTTTCTTTATGAAACAGTGCAAAAGGTAGTGGTTTGCACTGAGATTAAGTCGTGGAAAACTACCCAAGGTAATTTTCTGCGAACATTGAGATTAGGGATTTAACCTGGAGACTTTAAGTGGCAGGGAATATGATAATGTGAAAAAACACATATCTTCGTGGGGCATGGAATGGGATCTTTTGGAATGGAATCTATGGAATCTTTTCAATGCATGTTTGTTTTCAGAGGTGGTTTTGCTTTAGAACTGTGACATAAGCTGGCTAGTTAGAAGTCTTAGGTATGTTTCTAAAGGTGATTTGTATTTATGATGTCAAAGTCTTTCTGATTGTTTTCTAGCAATGTGTCCCAAACTTGAGTTGTGTTTTATGCTTGATTTTTATAGGATTATCCCTCTATTGCTCATCTGGTACAGAAGCTTAGTGAGAACAATATTCAGACAATCTTTGCTGTTACTGAAGAGTTTCAGGCAGTTTATAAGGTAAAGATAAATAACACATATTTCTGGTGTCCGTACTTTTTTTTTTCTCTCAAGCACTAAGACTGACTCAGATTTGCTCTGAAGTCATTAAAATTGCTTGATTTGAAATTAAAATAATTATGGAGGTGATCATGGAAGCAATATTTTGCTACTCATGTTTTCATTATTAAGCCTTTTTTACCTGTTCAAATTGATACTGAGTGCATGTGTAATTTCCAAGGAGAAAGTGCACCTCCTCCTTGCCCATCTTTAAACTTTATAGGTAGGAGGGAGTGGAGAACATATTTGCAGTGCTAATTTTTATGAACATTTTTACAGCAAAATAGCTGGGGGGTGTGGACACTGAATCAAGACACAAGCTCATGAAAGAATGTATTTTGTCCTTTGTGATCTATTTATATTCCTGATGTTTAAAATTAACTAAACTGCTGGATGTGATTGTGAAATAGGAAATGACTGTGTAAAGAAGATGCATATTTTTCCACGTTTTAACCTAACACGGTGGTGGGGGTGTTTTTAACTATATTCAAATCGTAATTTTTTTTCTTTGTTGGAAATCATCTTTTATCTGCCTATCTTTAATGCACTGGAAGAGTGGTTCTTTAAGATCTTGAAGATATATGTGGTCAGCTTGTACAAGATAAGGTTTTAGTATTCTATTACCAAATTTAACATGAAAATGCAAAGGAGAAGAAAAGACTGGGTATTGCTTTATTTTAGTACTGCTATGCATAACCTCAAAAATCATGAAGATCACTGGCAACACTGTAGCTTTGTTTTTTGAAGTACTTGATTTTGACTAGTTAATCCACTAAAGCATTATACACCATACAGATATTTACAGTACAAATTATACCTTGTTTGTTTGTAAGACTGTAATTCTCCTTTTACTTTTGTAAATATTGAAAGGAATTGAAAAATCTGATACCAAAATCAGCAGTGGGAACGTTGTCTTCAAACTCCAGCAATGTGATTCAGCTGATCATTGATGCATACAATGTAAGTTCAGATTTTATTCAGGTTGTAGTAATTTTTCTTGCTACTAAGTTATTATGAGTTTTTCAGGCAGATACTCCAAGGTGGATGTTATTTTTTTCCACAAAATAGGAAGTGAGTATACTAAAGTATAAATATACTGCTATTGCAGTAAAACCACATTAGATGTTCAGACTCTATGGCAATAAGAGGTTAGATGACTAGAAGCGTACACTCCTAAAGCCACTTGACCTTTTCATCCATATTTTCCCTTTTAAAAAATAAAATCCACAACCAAATACCACACTGTTTCTTCAGCATCTTCAGTTCTTGCCTTCCTTACATGTGGAAGTGAAAAGGGCCATTTTGCGACCTCTTAACCCCAAAGAAAATGTCTCCATCAACCTCAGGGACTCCTGGGTTTGGCCACAAAATATTTTCTTCACAGCTGTGTTGTGTAAATTTCCCTTTGGAGTACATGGGGCAAATAAGTGCCTCCAACATCTGTGGAGACCTGCCCCGACCCTGTGTAAGAGGGTTCAGCCGTGAGAAGGGGTCACCGTGGCGTGACTGTGAGCAGCGCTGGGCTGGCATTTCTGGGCACGTTGGAATTTACACAATTCCAGTGTGCCCATGGGATTGGTGCTTAAACTGTGCATAGCTGTGTAATGTCTTTTTTTCAGTAAAATGCTTATGCAACTCAATTCGAAGTTAGCTAATAACTGTTGTTTTAGTCCCTTTCTTCGGAGGTTATCCTGGAAAACACTAAGCTACCAAAAGGAGTGACAATCAGTTATAAGTCTTTCTGCAAGAATGGAGTGAATGACACACAAGAAGATGGAAGGAAATGTTCTAACATTTCAATTGGAGATGAGGTAACTTATAGTATGCGTGCTGCTACTCAAATATAAAGTTGATTTAAAATGTCCAACACTCAGTATTTCTTTCTAATAGTAGACACAAAACTCCTTTTAGTAATGTGGCACTCCATTTATTTTTCTTTGCAGGTTAAATTTGAGATTAATGTAACAGCTAATGAATGTCCAAAGACAGAAGAAAATGAAACAATTAAAATTAAACCACTGGGATTCACTGAAGAAGTGGAAATTAATCTCCAGTTCATCTGTGAATGTCAGTGTCAAAGTGAAGGAGAACGTAACAGTCCAGCCTGCCACGAAGGAAATGGAACATTTGAATGTGGTGCATGCAGGTAAATAAATAGACATTTTATTTATTTTTGCAAAAGGGAAATATGAGCAAGACCTTTGTTGCCTTAATTAGAGTTTATTTGGGTTTACTTTTCTTTTTTTCTTTTTTTTTGGTAGTGAAAGGACAAGAATTACTATTACAGACCTATTTCTTTTAGGATATTTTGACATGCTGTCTTATTTCTGCAAATAATCTATATGCTGGAATTCATAGTATTGATCATTAGATTGGCACTACTATACAAGTCAGAATTTGAATTTGGCCTTGAGTCAGTCCTTCGAATTATATAGATTTTACTGCTTTTTCTGTTTCTTTATTTAATTTTGAGGCCCATTTAATATGGCAAAATTTATGGATTTATGGAAGAAAATGAATGGAATTAATCTGTGATATTTTTGCAAGTATTCATACTGATCTAATTATATCCTTCTAATGTGAGGTCTGTTGATTCTGAGAAATTCAAAGGCTTCCTAGTTTTTTGGTAGGAGCCCCTACCCAGATTGGCACCAACTGTTTCATAGCAGGGAAGAGTAGAAGATCATAAAAGAACAACCTTTTATTTTGGATGACATCCCCAATCTCTTCTCCCTACTTTATTTTGAACCTTTTGGGGTCTTACTACAATGTTTCTTCTAATTCCATATATCTATAAATCTTTCAGACATATATATAACTTTTTTGTATATATATGCCTTCGAAATGTCCATTATTGCCCGTCACAGGGATTAGATTAGATGTGTATTCCTTATTACACATTTGAAAATTAAGTAAAATGATACTGGATTTTCTGGAATTACACACAATGAATGACACACAATGAAAGCAGAGCGAAATCGTAGAGTTTCAGTGGAGACTGGTTGAAGATCAACCTAGTAAAGTCAAGGTTTTAGCCTTTTTTTTTCCCCTCCAAGAAACCTACAGCAAGAATGAAAACTTTTTCTTCTTGGAAGCACTTGGTAAGAGCAGAATGAATTTAAGTACTTCTCTAGGAAAACAAGATCCAGGACTTTGGAAAACAGTATTGGTTCCTGCTCAGTGAACTGTAACCGAAATAAAATTTGTAAGTCTCATTCCTCATGGTTTAATATGTTTCTATTATTAAAAATAAAGCAAGAGATACTGAGTTCACTCTTGGAGGACTTTTGGCATAGAACTGACTAACATCTGCCTGGTGAATTTGTTGGTGGTAGTTAACGGGGTGTTTGAAAGACTGAGGTATGGCCCCCTAACTGCTTAGTATTGTGTAAGTTGAGGAATAAGCCACCTTGGGCCATAAATACTGGATACGCTGCTCCATTTTTGCAGTCAGTTTTTGATATTCCCTTTAAATAAGGAAAGCAGATTTTTCCCATCTTTGTGTAAAGACTTACTAAACTCGGTATCACTGTCATTGGTGTCCCCATGGTTTCACACAGGGGAGAACGGACCCATGGGTAAGAACAGCCTTTTCCTTTTACAACAGTAGCAGCTTCCTGATGGAAGCAGTGTCTCTGATGCCCCACAACAGTTCGTCAATCACTGCTGGGAACAAAAACAACCTCCATTTGTCATCGGTATTTTAACCTTGATAATGAGAAGTGCTGATCCCTGAAGATCTCAGCTCTGAAGCTCATCTACTCTCCTGCCTAATGGCTGTTCATGGGAAATCTTTTCATTGATAGATGACAGCAGCTACAGTGAACAGTCACTGTCACTTAAAAATAATTATTGTTCTGTCACATGAGAGAGGGATTAATAGTGGTTATGTGGCAATTTAGTTAGAGGTGGTGACACATAGTTTCTCACCTAGAATAAGTAATCAGCATAGGAGCAACTTAGTCCAGTTTGCTCGTGCAGCTTCAAGAATAGCTACGTAGATGTCACCTGGAAATCTCATTTGAAGCTTAACTCGAAGTATCCCTTGAGAGAGTAGTCACTTTTACTCCTGTCCTTTGTGCTATTTTTGCAGTCTCTTTATTGTATGACTTTTAATTAAGTTTATATTTTCAGTTGTGTTTTTACCTTGCAGATGTAATGAAGGACGTATTGGAAGACTATGCGAATGTAGTACAGATGAAGTAAATAGTGAGGATATGGATGCTTACTGCAGGAGGGAGAACAGTACAGAAATATGCAGTAACAATGGAGAATGCATTTGTGGACAATGTGTATGCAAGAAAAGAGAAAACACGAATGAAGTATATTCTGGCAAATACTGCGAATGTGATAACTTCAACTGTGATCGATCAAATGGTTTGATTTGTGGAGGTGAGAAACTACTTCAGAGTTTTCTGCAGGCAAAACTGGCCAGCAGTTTACAAGTCTGTCAACTCTACCCTGTAGAGTAGTGATACTTAGTTTATAGATCATAGCTACTTGACAAGAGAGATGAGAGTATCCAGAGATTTAGTGATTGAAAATGTCTATTAATAAAACAGTTCGCTGTCATCGTGAACATAGAGTGTGTTAATACACATTTCGCCTTCCTTGAATCACAGTTCCAAGAAGGATGTAAAGTGAACTTGACTTCTGCTGTTTATTACAGAATTACTCTCAGGTATTATAGTAAAGAATGCTGAGACAACTGGCCTGAGATTATAATGTTATACTGGCTCAGTGTAACCACTGCGTCAATAAAAAGAGAGAAAGACCTGAGCTTACTTGTAATAGTGAGTGCTTGACTCGGTGCTTGACAAGATACCAGTGAGATGCTATCTTGAGACTATTCTGAAAGGTAAGTGAAGATTACAACATGCAAGATCCAGAAAAGCACCTTAAGTGCTTGAAACAAGCCTCTGATGGCAGTTAATTCCCGAAATCAAAAACAATTTAGAAAATTCTTCAGCAGCCAGTGTCTAAATTATTTTGCTGCATGTATTTTTGTCCTGTAACTTCCCTAGGCTGCTTTGTGCGTGGAGGTACCTGGTAGGAGTGTAACTGCTACCTCAATTTTGACTGTGATACAAAAATAAAGCAGAAAAGTCACTTAAGCTTTAACTGAATTATGTGAGAGTACCTCATCTGTCCGATTTGCTCAGAATATACCTATTGCTCACCAGCTCCACAAAGGATAGGAGCAATGGCGGTGGCATTCCAAAATATACGGTGACAGATAAGTATTGACCTGAACACTTTATTTTTAATGGAGAAGGAGGAGTGTAGCCAAAGATCTTTCCATTTCATCCAAATCACCCTTCTGGAGATACAGGTATCTTGTTTCCTGTGTAGGGAGTGTAAGGAGCATAAAGTTTGGTTGGGTGGATGAGGTCAGAAGCACCACAGCTGAATTGGGGTGTTCTATGGAGCCAAAGGTGTTTCATTTTTCTGTGTTGTGAAGTCTAAGTTAGTGCGTTCCTTATCTTTTTAGCTGTTGCTTTATAAATTTATATAGTGATAGATGCGAAGACAGTGTAGTGACCAATGCATCTATGTACGTATAAAATTGTGAACTGAAGCAGTGCTGTAATGTTCTCCACCCAGGAGATATGGCTGTCTCATTATACTGTTCTTGATCAGCTTTCCCTAGTCCTGTTGTTTTGTTTGTGAAAGTAAGTCCAAATATGGGAGAATGGGAAAAGGGGAGAAATGTAGCTTTTCAAGGAGCTAAAATTGATTTTGTAGCTCTTAATTCATGAGTGTCTTCATTATCTCTACACCAGGGTTTTCTTTTCCCTGTATTTATCCTGAGATGGTGAACATTTATTTCTTACTGTCACAAATTTTATATGTTAGACTTCATTTCACTGAAATATTTTTTTCAATGCACAGGAAACGGTATCTGCAAATGCAGAGTGTGCGAGTGTTTCCCCAACTTCACTGGCAGCGCGTGCGATTGTTCTTTGGATACTCTCCCATGTTTGGCATCTAATGGGCAGATTTGCAATGGAAGAGGAACCTGCGAATGTGGCACCTGTAACTGTACAGATCCCAAATTCCAAGGCCCCACGTGTGAAATGTGTCAGACTTGCCTCGGTGTCTGTGCAGAACACAAGTAAGTACCTAGAAAAGCAAGTCCAAGCTTCTGTGCATTTGAGTTTGTGATGTTTATGTGTGCAGAATTTTTAAAATGAGGCTTTTGATACTGTGCTTTACCCTGAAATGTAGGGACATCGTATCGTATCATCCCTTTAAACAGTAAAAGTTGTTGGTGAGAATCAATAATTACAAACAAAACATTATTAATACAGTATTTTGATTGCTTCCAGGTAGGCTAGTTATTTCTTAAATTCTCTCCCAATTTTTTGTTAGGCACAGAAACGTGTACGTTATGTTAAATCAGTTTTAACCATTCAGATTGACTTGGGCAGGTTCCAGCTTTCCCCTATTTTGTGTATGATTATTGACAGCCAACCTTCTGCAGAGCTGGAGGGAACATAGGTCTATAATGTGACAGGCTGTAAAGTCCCATCATCTTGACTTTTTGAAATTAATGTAATGAAACTATACATATACTGTGCTATTTCCAGAATAGTTAAAACTTCAGCTAACCTTTTTACTTAAAACTTATTCTGAAACACTATTGAAAAAGTCAGACTATACTGACAGTCGAAAACTAAACCTCGATTTGTGTGGGCCAATGAAATTTGCATCCCTGCCTTTGGAAATCCAGGTTTTTGGAAACCAAGCATTTTCTGCATGGAAACTTTGAAATAAGTTTATGATTAGTGGCTGGGCTGATTCCTGGCTTTGTGCAGCTGACTTTAAGGTTTTTCTCTCAGTGCAGTCTTTTTAGTATAAAAATCCTGCTCAGTCTGCTTTTTTCAGTGAGTTATTCAGAGCAATATCCTACTGTAAAGCTTGTCACTCAGTTTGTTCTCTTTAACCTGTCTGTCTCAGATACTGTTTCCCTGTAAATATTCTTTTCCTACACTGCCTTCTGTGAGAGTATTAGTTTTCCAGATGGAGGTGTTGAAAAAGTTTTAGCCTTGTTTCCTTTTACACATTTAGGTAATTTTTTTTTTTTCCTGTCCTTGAAGCTTGTGGATCATCCA